TACAAGTGTATTTGTACACAGCTTCACACGCACACTCACGCACACACAATATAATATACAGAGATATAACGTATATATTAATCAATATTTTCGCTGCGCTTATTTTGCTTATACAGAACTCAGAGTAGAAGCATTTTATGGCAGGGGCTTTTTTTTTTAGTTATTTTTTTTCTCCAGTGCTAAGAAATGCGAATGTGAATTAAGATACCACAAAAGCTGGGAACGTCCCCGAGTTAATATGACAGACACTTTTCTTTTAATTTAAAAAAAAAAAAATCAAAGAAAAGAAAAGAAAAGAAAGAAAGAAAGAAAGACCGACCCAAGCCTACGAAGCCGCAAGAAATGTAGTCCATAATTCAAAGCCCCTTCAGTGTAGAGCTGAGCTCACCGAAACCTCAGTGTGAGCTCAACGGGAACCACAGAAATCAGCCCACTTCGAAACCTCTTCCCTCGCTTCTCCTGAAGTTTAACGCCGAGTTTTTACTTTAATACTAGTAGTGCAGATTAGGCAGTTTAGCGGCATTTAAAAATCTCCCTGCAATTAATCTTCGCTTTAACTGCAAGTTTATACCCAGGATTTTATATAACGATTTTAAAAAAGGTTTTCTCTTCTTTTTGCTATTTAAATATCTTCTAAATGCATAAAACTTTTTTTTTCTCCCCTGCAGACCATAAGCTCCCGAACACAGCATAACGAGACGGCCCGACATAGATTTTCTACAATATGAACATTCCAAATTAAAAAAAAAAAAAATAATAACAAAAAAAATCACTCGCTTATCTCTTCCCACACAGGCACGCCAGGGACACTCACCCACACACAGATGGTCACCTCAAATATTTAAAAATCTGGGCCATTTTTCTAATATTTTAAGCAACATCGTCTATGCTTTGGAAAGGTGGTTATATACATACATGCCTGTAGCTCGAAAGCTAGGACTTCCACATATGTTAAAGAAAGTCACAGCTGATTGCAAATGTACATCTTTTAACCAAGCCTTTTGGGAATTAATAGACTGTGACAAACCTATAGGATTTTAGTAGCAGAAGGAACGCAAGGTAAATAATAATAGTAATAGTGAGCGCTAAGGAAAGGCCTGGTACAGTTTATTAAACGTGGTTCTACTCCCCTGACTTTTCCTCTGTTTCTTCGCTGCTGGGCTGTGTGGAATTTATGAATTTGTTTTCCTTTTTCCATTTCATCCGCCTGTTTTGAAACCATATTTTAATCTGGCGTTCAGTAAGGCAGAGAGCGTTTGCAATCTCAATACGTCGTCTTCGGGTTAAGTATCTGTTAAAATGAAATTCCTTCTCTAACTCTAGCGTTTGGTATCTGGTGTAAGTTTGCCTCCCTCGTCTCCCATGAGTTCCATATACTGTACCTGTAGAAGTAAAGACAAAACGATCGCATTGGACAGGGCCCAGTGATTTCAGACCAGAA